GGCCCTGTGACTGCTGGGAAGGAGCTAGAAAACCATCCTCCACACCTGTGCAGTGTTTACTGCCGAGCAGAACACAGAAGCAAAGCCAACATCCAGGCGACTCCACAGAGGGAGCCAAATGCTGCCTTCCTAAACCAGAACCAGATAGCCACTTTGGGGCACCTATGGTGTGCTAAGCGGCACCCTGGGGAAGTCCTCAAGGGAAAACAAAAATGCAAATATAGAAAAATGGGCAGAATGTAGGCATTGAGGGTTTCCGGGAGTGTCAACTATTTGCAAACTTCGTTAATTTTCCTTACCTTTACAAAACAGAACAGCCCAGACTTTCACTTCTGTATATCCTACAGGCTTTGTACTTTATTTGTATCAGGGCCTGTAGAACTCCCTCATCCACCTTCCCCTTCTTGCCTGTCCATTCCCCAGGTCCCACAGCCAGTTCTCCACAGTGACGCACATTCCAATGCCTGCAGTGTTCAGCACAGCAGGTCAAGGTACAGACTCAGCCTTGCTATATTCTTTTCCCTGTGGCCTCTGTTACGCTTGCTCCGTTGCTATGATAAACATGGTGACTAAAAGCAACTGGAGGGATGAAGGGTTTTATTTCGGCTTATAGCTACATATCGTAGTCCACCATCAAGGGAAGCCAGAGCAGGAACTGATGCAGAGGCCATGGAAGGTTACTGCTTAACAAACCCCAGGCCCACCTTTCCAGTGGTAGCACAACGCACAAGTTCCCCTCATCAACCACTAATTTGAAAGATAGTCCACACACTTGTCTACAGGGAACCAGTCCAGGTACATGAGGTACACTTTTCTCAGGGGACCCTAGCTTGAATTAAGTTGACAAACAGCTAACCAACACACTTGTTTCTTCCTTCCCTGGGTGCCTGTCTACCAGCCTTCCAGTAAGCTCTAAGGACAGCCTTCTTTCCCTGGTCTTCTCTCCCCTTTATGATGTCTGTTCCTGGGAAGTGGTGAAGAGAGGACTGGCATTTCCCAAACATTATTTCTGGTTTTTAATGACCATAAAGAGATGCATTTAATAAACTCTTAAAATAAGAAAAGCACTTCTTTTCTGAAACAGTCTCCATCCAGGAAAGTCATGCTTTGCAGTTGATTACAGACAGAGGAAGCGGATCACTACCCCCACCACACTGCTGATCTAAACGTTTCCTGGCAGGAAAGCTTGCTCATAATAAATGTTCAATAAATATTTATCGAGATAATTAAAATTTTAAGGGGTTTCAGGAGCCAAAAGAAAAAAAATCAGAACTTCCATTTTAACAACAGAACTTTCTTTGAGAGTAAAAGGAAAAGTCAATAGCCAACTAACAGAAACAAGATCACAGGAACTCTTAGGGGTTAGAAAAGATAGCATAATTTACTTAGCTTGCATCTTCCTAAGAAAACAATTTTTGCTACCTCCTCATTTTCTTTGAAAACTGGATTTCTTTAAAACTTCTCTGTTAATGTGAATGAAAAACCAAATCCCCACTCTACAAAATAGGATGTCAGAGTTGTCCTTTAAACTAAAATGATCATGGACCTGCAGGAGAGAGATGCTTTTCCTGTGACCTCACTTCCTTCATTCCTTCCAAGGACCCCCCTCCCCAACACACATACACACACTCCTTACTGGTTTTTCTCTGTGCCTCTAACTTAGACCTGTCCCTCCTAAAACACAGAGACCTCAATGTGACCCCAGTGTGGTGTGGCTCTTTCACTTGGAATTCTGTATGACATTGGTTTCCTGTTGGCTTTATTCTGTTACGCTTATGGTGCTGAGAGCTAAAGAGAGATTTGTGCTCAGCTCCTTGACACAGAGAAGACTCATAGTACCCATGTGAGTGACACTCTCAGGATCCTTGAAACCCATTCTTAATATAGATGGGCAAACTAGGGGGTGGATATCCAGAGGAAAGAAGGTAGGGTAGACAGACAGAGACAGATATGTTGTACAGAAAAGGAAGGGTGCACAAAGCCTCCAACACATCTTCAGCTGTGAGCCATGCTGAACATGGAGCAATATAACAGAAGTGACTCAGTTTCCCAAATGGCCATTCCTGCCCTGCTCTGTCTTCAGAAGGTCATGGCAATGGAGGACCCAGCATCCAGAGACAGTCTTCTGGAAACTGGGAGGTGAGGAACATTCACAGACAACTGTCCCTGCCTTGGCCACGCCCCACCTGAAACTGCACGCCAGTTTCTCGGTCTTATCTTTGCTCAAACCCCACTCTGTCTCAGTCTGCTGGTGCTTGCAGGGTCATATATGATGGCTTGTTTTGCATGTCTGTTGCTCATCAGTTCTGTCCATACCAAGTCCTACTGGTCACCCACAGACCACTCTGCTGTGTGGACCTGTGGTGTCCACCTTTTAAGCTCCTCTCAGGGGTTTAGCTTGTTGTCTTTTTTCTCACAACCACTTCAACCTCCTCCATGTTCCTAGAAGAGTGTTGCAGATGCCCACCTTCTTGTTCTGAGGTGTATAATTTTTCATAGACTAATTGAGCCCAAATGAGGGGACTAGGGACCACAATTCTAGATGGTCACAATAGTTCCCCCTGCCCCAGAACATGGAGATGAGAAGAGAAAACTAGCCTGGGGGTGTCTTATTTGTAGTCAGTTGACTTCCAATAGAAAGTATGTGAAAGCTTGTACATAGGGCCTTCAGGAGAAAGAGGTCACCGACCTGGGACCACAGTGCAGAAGTACGGATGATAGTCCTGTTGACCGCTCCTGTGCTCTGAACCAATGATGTCTGTAGATGCACTGCCTGCCCGGGAAGACATGCCCAACTCAGTGAAGACATGTAATTATGTCTTCTATTGAAGAAACACTATCATAGATGACACTCACACTGCACAAGGCACGGCTTTTTAAATCACAAGAGAATGGTCCTCACCACAGAGCCTCAGATGAAATGTCAGGATCATTCGATTCCCAGTGTCAGAAGAACAATATAAAAAGAGAAAAGCAGCAAGTGCAAGACTCTTCATTCTGACACTTGAGTTTTTATCAACTACTTTCTTGGTTACAATTAACAAAGTTCCAAAATGGGATGAGGTTGATTATCAGCGGGAATAAAAAGATGACTTCAGTTATCACATTTTACTGTGTGGTTCTGTCTATGTTGAGATTTTGCTGGGGGCACAAATTGATCTACATTTAATGAAGATTTTGCTGGTGTGTTAAAGAAGGCCCAGTCACCCTGAGGTCAGCAAACCAAGGACCCTGCTCCCACATGCTCAGCTTCTGTGGTCCATGGTCTATCCTTTCTGCTCTGTAACTGTCCAGGTCAGGCTTCTAGGTCTCAGCTGCACTTTAGCAATGTCATGAGAGAGGCTAAGGAGTCAGGTGACTCTGGGCTCATGCCAGCTCAGCTGTCCTTCACCATCACTTTTCTATAACTCTCTGCCAGGGTGGCTTCTGAAGCAAAATGTCCTTAAGTATCCGAGGCAACATGGCCAACACCGAGGTGCCTGCTCAGTCATGCTATCCTGAAACTGGGTGGGTGGGCTAAGGGAAGGAAAAGCTTATTGTAGCATATGTCACTTTTTCTGTAGCATGTTTTAGATGGAGCACTGAAGTGCTGTATTAAAATTAACTACGAATATATGATTTGAGTTTCTGTATCGAACTTCCATAGCATGTAAAGCTGTTCAACATGACTGCAGTAAGTTGTAAGTGTAGGGCTTTTTGGTCATTTCTTTTGTTACTTCTCTATTCTCTCCCTCCTGCTTCCTTCGGTGCCATTTTACTCATGCATCCAATTAAGTAGAGTAAAAAACAATTAGATAAATTTTAATGGCCAAGCCGGGCGTTGGTGGTGCACACCTTTAATCCCAGCACTCAGGAGGCAGAGGCAGGTGGATCTCTGAGAGTTCGAGGCCAGCCTGATCTATAGAGCAAGTTCCAGGACAACCTCCAAAGCAATACAGAGAAGCCCTGTCTCGAAAAACAAAACAAAACAAAAAATTAATGGCCAGTATAGTTTTGAAATGTTTGAAAGAACTATAGAAAACCATTCCATCACTGTGAGTCTCAATTAGAGAACGAAATCAAACCCTCAGAGATAAATGTTAGAAATGTCCAATGGGAATTTAAAATTCAATACTCATATATGGAGATGAGGTTGGTCTATCTCCCTTGAATAAGAATTGCCACTGTTTCAATATTTCTTTATTGCAAACTAAATTTATCTTCAAGTAGTAATTTAAAAGATGCTTGGATTTTTTCTCTTTTTTTAACAGTATTTTATTTTATTTATTTTTTTCTTATTTTACATACCAATCCCAGTTCCCTCTCCCTTCCTACCTCCTTACCTTCCTCTCTCCTTCCCTCCCTCCACCCACACTCCCCAACCACCCTCCTATCCCATCCTTCTCCCTCACTCCACAGGGAGGGTGATGCCTTCCAGGAGGCATCAACAAAATCTGTCAAGTCATTTGGAATAGGGACTAGGCCCTCCCTCCTGCCTCTAAGGAATGTGATCCCAAAGTCCTTTTGAGCACCAGGAATACATCCTGGTTCCACTCTCAGAGGTCCCCTAGACTGCCCAGGCCTTCTAACTGAGACCCATGTTCAGGGAGTCTTGAGTCAGTCCAATGCTGGTTTTCTACCCATCAGTCTGGGTGTCCATTAGCTCCCTGGCTTGGATTTTTTAATAGGTGGTTTCTTTTTACAAGGCCAAGACAAACATTTAAATGGTAACTAATAGATTACTTTTTATCCTTTTTCAATTTTGTATAAATAAATGGCCTGTGTCATTGTATGACAGTTCTACATAGAAACTGAAAAACAACGTAGCTGAGTCATTTTAAGGATACTCTTCTCTTTAGAAGATAAAGATTGTTCGCTCTTGACGGTTATGTGCCTAGTGGGTGAGATATTTGGGAATTCCCAGATAAAATAAAAGGATCTGAGAAATGATGTGATCAGTCAGCCCTGTTGAATTTGGCATCTGTTGACAGTAATTTGTTCTTGTGCTCATTCCCTGACAGATACGAGCCACTGGCTTCTGTTCTTCTGGGCGAGAAGAAGGGTCAGTCTGCTGAGGAGAGATGTCGGCTTGTTCTCCAGCGCTGTAAATTGCAAGGCTGTCAGGTTGGTGGCCAACAGACTATGGAAATAGAAGGCTAGGGTTTTAAAAAGCATGAGTCATGGTAGTAGCCACCGGCCTTACTGGCAAAAAAAAAAAAAAAAAAAAAAAAAAAAAAGAAAAAGAAAAAAAGAAAAAAAAAAAATTCCCTTGATATGTTTGGCAAGGCACAGCACTCTGTGTCTGGTGGAAAGATGCCATTCTGCATGATTTATGGGTTTTAGCACCATGGAGGCAACATAAGAGGCAAGCCTGCTTTTACAGCCACACAGAGAAGTGACTGAGCTTTGCTGTTTTCATAGCTGCTCACTAACACTTAATAAAGCATCTAATATGTGGCCATGTTAGTCACCTTTCCAATCTCTGTGACAAAGTACGCATGGTAGACAGAGGATACAGAGAGAAGTTTTCCTTGGGCTCACAGCTCCAGTCCATGGCCCATGGGCTCCACTGTGGCAGACTGAACATCACACCACAGTGCATATGCGTGAACAGACACATTGAGATCATGGCACTGAGGAAGAACATGGGAAGAGGAGAGGGGGAGAAGGGAGGGGAGAGCACAGTTGTTCATCTGATGACATTCAGGAAGAACAGGAGAGGAAAGGAGGTGAGAGGAAAAAAGGGGGAAAGACCCCCAGGTCCCAGTGTCATCTACTTCAAAGGCACACTCCCACTGACCTATGTGGTAATATAATTTTTATGATTTACTAAAGCTTGCCTGAGGGTGCAGAAAGCAGAGCCAGCCACAAGCCATAGAGCCAGGCAGTGGTGGCACACAGCTTTAATCCCAGGACTCAGGAGACAAGCAGATGGTTCTGTCTGCGTTCAAGACAGCCCTTCCCTACACAAGAGTGAAGAGTAACAGAGCTCACAGGGGATCACATGCCTTTAATCCCAGCAGTAGGGAGGTGAAGACAGAAGTGATATGGCTGGGCAGAGAAAATAATATAAGGAGGAGGAGGAAAAGGAGACAGGATCTCAGAGTCCTTTGCCTCTGAGGATTCATGGAGATAGGATTTCCATTTCAGCTTGGTAGACATAAGATCTATTGGCTTGGCTACTTTACTTCTCTGATCTTCAACTTGAAGCTTGAATCCCAATATCAGTCTCTGGGACTTTCATTATTTGTGTTACAGACTTAACTTCCCCTCTCTAGGGTTCAGCTTTTAGTGAATCACCACCTCTTAAAAGCCACAGGCTATAAACCAAGCCTTCAGCATTTGGGCATTTAGGAGGCATGCTCCAGATCCAAACTATAAGAGAAGCAGAAATCAGAAAACCACAGAGTAGGGAAATAATGTTGAGTGAACCAAACTCTTTGTGTTGGACCCAGGCTTGCTAAGCTGGAGAAGTTCAGGTACCCTTGCTTAAGTTTCTCTTTGCTGCTCCTCACCAACCTCACAGTGGAATGGACAGTCTCTCTGAGCATTAACAAGGGGACAAGCTCTGAGTCCCAGAAATCCTCACTGTAATCTATGTGAAGAGCCCATGGCAGCTGTCACTAAGGCAGGACAGGGATGAAGGCAAACTATCACAGGGAGCCCCCACTAGAGATGGGACAGCAACTTAAATGACATCAGGAGCATCCTTGGCTAGCTTTAGGAAGAAGGGGTTTGAGTGGAGGAGAATGAAGGGCACAGGTGGATGGCACAGAGGGTGGTGAGGGGGCGGGCTTTGGGGAGGGATTCATTACTGGAAAACAACCACCACCCTCAGGTTTAAGAGTTGAATCGTTCGTCTCTGAGTGTAAGTGCATGATCATTGATGATGCTGAATATGGTAACATTGCGTCATGAGTGGAGGGGGCAGATGGCGTGCCTCATATCAGAATGTGTGTGCAAGAAGCACGCCTACAAGGCTCGGCACGTCAGCAGAAGCTGGAAGCTGGCGCGTCACGGGTACACTCACCCATGACCTAGAGCAAAGAGCACAAGGCTCAGGCACAGAGGTGGCACCGTTTCATCCTCTGCACCACCCACGCTCTTCCTTCGTTCTTTTTTACTTTTCTTCTTTTTTATCCTCGATGGAAGTTGGACTCTTAAGTCTCAGTCTGAGGGAGGACGCTTACTCACATTGGGTTGTCATGGTTGCACATCAGTGCTGAGGCTGGATTTTAAAAGGAAGGAATTACTAACCAAGAGTGATGTCAGCTCCCCATCCTGGAGCCTGAGACGTTGATGTGGGCTCCACAGAGAATATGGTTTAGCAAGATTACAGGGAGTTGAGGTCACTTCTGCTTAATCATTGCTGTTTTTTTTTTTAAATATGTAATTGTAAAGTAGTGATTTAAGAATAGCATGATGTCAAAGCTCTCAGGCTTTGTGATTTTCCTCTAAAAAACACTCACTGTTTGTGTGTGTGTGTGTGTGTGTGTGTGTGTGTGTGTGTGTGTGTGTGTGTGTGTGTCTTACAAGCAGTTTTTCCACCAGCCTGCCTGGTCCTAGAGCCACTCCATCCCCAAATAACACACAAAGACACTGTATTAGATATAATGCTATTGGCCTGTTACTATCATTCTTATTGGCTAGCTCTGTCTTAAATATTAACCCATTTCTATTAATCTAAATGCTTCCATGTGGTCTTATTTTAATAGAGAGCGGGCCCAGAGTTCTGCTCTCCTGGTCCTACATTTCAAATCTCTTCTTACCTCTTCCTGAAACCTCCTTGTCTCCTAGTCCCACCTATCTTGCTTTCCTATTGGCCAACAAAGCTTTATTCATTAAACAATACAAGAAACATATTTACAAAATGATATCTCCCATCGTGTGTGTGTGTGTGTGTGTGTGTGTGTGCATGCATGCGCACTGTGCAAGTGTGTGTCCTGTGTGAATGTGTGTGTGTGAGAGAGAGAGAGAGAGTGTGTGTGTGTATATATGTCTGTGTGTGCCTGTGTGTCTGTGTGTGTGTTGAGATACCAAGAGAATATGAAATCTATCTCCCAGTTAGGCAGTCAGTATCAATTCTAGCACCTAGTCGGGATTCCCAATGTATAGGATGGTGTCACCATGAGAGGAGGCTTGGGTGCACATAGATGTTCACTGGTAGGGATCAGTCTTTGCAAGTCTGTTTCCTGGATGGGATACTTGAAACAGTAGCTGAGGATGGTATTAAACATACATTGGTTCTTCTAAAACAAAAAGCAAATGCATTTTAAATAAATCATTTTCTCCTCACTTAAAAAAATTTGTTTATTTTTGTTTTATGTATATTTGTGAGTGCCTGCATGTATGTGCACCTTGCACATGCCTGGTGCCAACAGAGGTTAGATCCTGACACTGCATCTTCTGAGACTAGAATTACAGATAGTTGTGAGCCACCATGTGGGTGTTGGAGCCCAAACCGGATCCCAGATCCTCTGCAAGACAAGCAACCATTCTTAACTGCTGAGCCATCTCACAAGCCTATCCTGATTTTCTCCCCCACACTAGAGAGCTGAAAAGAACAAAAGGAAGGGGAACAAGGAGAGGGATGTGTGTAGATTTTTTGCCCAAGTATATCTGCTAATGAGTTCTGTGTTCTCCATTAGGGAAGACTGATTTTTCTCCAACTTTGTCAATTTGGAATCATTTAAACTTTCCATGCTACAAGATGAGTGGCTGACTTTACAAAAATAGTTACACTTATTCATATTTAATTTGTAAGTTAAACAGAAAACAATTTGTGTTCAAAACTCAATTATTTCTGACATGGGAACTCATAGTCCTCTGTTTCAAAAAGAAAGTGTTGGCTTGAAATGTTCCATTATGAGAAGGTTTGCCCTTGGTTCTATTCTGGGTTGTGAATCAGTGCAATAGAACAGCCATGGATGCTCCATGCCCCTGGACCATAGTCTCCACACTGCCATGGCACAGTGTGTTTTTATTAAGCAGTTGACACTCACCGTTGGTCTCCAACCCCATGTCTACACTAGCAGGTAGAAGAGACTTGACTAATTTCTTCATCCTATGAACCTGTGAAAGCTGTTAGATAGGAGTTCACTTTCTTCACTAAAATATCACTTTTTAAACTTATGTGCATATGTGTATCTATGTGAGTATGTCACTTGCTTGTGGGTGTCTGCAGAGGTCTGAAGGTATCGATCGGATCCCCTAGAACTAGAGAGGCAGGCAGTTTTGAGTCATCTGATGTGGATGATGGGAGATGAACCTCTGTGTCCCCTGCAAGAGCACCAAGTGCCCTTAACCATAGAGCCAACTCTAGCCCCTCCCCCCGCTTTTATTCTTTTATCATCAGTTGAATAAGTTTTGGGGATCTAGTGGTTTGTGTCATTCCTCCTCTACTCTACCTGGCATAGTCAGTTTTGAGTCCTCAGAGTGGGACTGCAGCTGCTTACTTCCTGTCTCTTACTTGCTGCAGAAGCTCATGAGCACTCCTGGTTCGAGGCAACCAACTTTGGGAGCTGTTGGGTTTGTCTGTGGAGATAAAAATGGAGGAGGTAAATGGAGTGTGACAGTGTAAGGGAGGATAGGGGTTGATACAGAGAAGTGGGGAGGGACAAACACTCTGTTTATTCCCGGAGTGTTATGGGGCTGGGGTCAGTGCATGAGGAATCAGGGGTGAATAACCACTACTTTCATCTGTGTGTTGAGAGGTTCCCACTCAATGCTCTCCCCACTTTATGGACTTCTAGTGCGATAGCAGCTCCTTCGAAAACAGAGGAAAGTAGCCACAGTGTAGAGGTGAGGATGCTGAGCCCTGGAGAGCTGGAACAGAGAGCTGAAACAGGGGTTCCAATTCTCATTCGCTTCGTTGGAAAGCAGCTTGGCTGAGGCCAACCTGGATTCTGTCTCAGCCTTGTTCTTGCCTCAGCATTTAGGTTGATCTCTGCCTTTCGTTATAGCTACCTCGAGTCGTTTTGTTCAGGGTTCAGAACTTGAAAGGGGATGAATTGTGCTTAATTACGGAGCTTTGATCTTGGGCACTTCCGTATTCCTGTATTAATTAGCAGTTTGCCCTTTGCAGCTGGTGTCTTTTCTGTGTTTGTAAGTCACTGGGCAGATGA